CTCCATGAACTGGTCTAGAGTCAAAGACTTGGCCCAGTCCGCCATGCGTCGCCCGTACCCGGCTTTCACAACTACCCCATCTAACCATTTGGCTGTTGTACCCTCTAGGTAAGATGCCGCAGTTACCACTTCATCCTCTGGCAAGGTCCTTTTGGCCTTCACCCAAGCCGGGACCGTCCTCAACCATGTGTTGAGTTCCTCGTCCTTCCTCTCGCCTGAGAAGGCAAGAGGCGGTTTCATTGGGGTCTTGGGGTACCATTGACCTTGCTGTTGCCCGTGTTGAGAGACAGGTTGTTGCGGTGGTGTAGCAACCACCGCTGGACCCGAAGAAGAAGATGCAACAGTCTGTGAGACTGCTGCAGACGTACCACTAGGCTGGGTACCAACTTGAATTGGAAAGGGGCCTGACATCGCCGATAACGGCAGCGGCGATTGTGCTGGTGGCCGGAATCCTGGCTTTGTCAATGCATCCACGATCTGGTCCAAAGTGCTCTGCATGAAGTCCAACCTGCTGTCTACGTGCGCATGCAATGACAACATGTTGTTCTTCAACACTTTCAGGGGGTCAGACAAAACTGTTTCGTCCAATCCCTCTAACGCAGCCTTGTCAGCCTCTAACGTATCAAGTCTGGCCGCTCTACTTTTTATCTCTCTTTCTCTATCGGTTGCTTTCTTCAGATCCTCCTCTAACTGCTGGCGGAGCCTCTCGACCTGCTGGATCTCTCTGAGCTCCCTCTCACGTGGGGTCAACGGGCTGAACTGCGAGCCCGCCATTTGACTAGAAGACTGTCTAGACCCTGTTGAACCGGAAGTGCCCGAGGAACTCGTGGAACTCAGTGGCATTCCCAACTGAGTCCCACTAGTCCCTGACGAGGACGCAGACGATGACGCAGCAGAGCTGGTACCGTTAGCCATTGCTGCTGCTCTGGCTGCTGTTGCCCGCTCTCTTGCTACTCTATTTGCTTCCTGTAGTCCTGCTGCTAGAGCACGAGCTCTACGTTCGGCACGAAGCCGTCTTCTTCTCCCTCGTCCAAGGTCCTGAACACGTGCGGAACCCTTAATGCTTCCGAACGTGTAAGTCTCCTATTGTCAGCTCTATCATCAACAGGATCTGATCCACTCACTAGTTAGGCAGATAGTTTCTGCACTAGAATCCCCTAGTGGAATCCTACCACAGCATGTATCTGACCGGCACCTAATTTTCTAACAATAGTTATGTCCGGCGAGTATCCTACTATACCGAATCAAGTGGCATGTCTACAACATTCACACAGATTGTCTACATAGTCTAGATGCACCCTGAATGGTTCACTTACATCAGCATTAGTTAGAACTGGCTATGGTAGCATACAACAGTCCTACACTAATCTGTCTGTGAGGTTAGCAGTCCGTCAACCAACTAATCAAAGGTACAAAAAGACAATGTAGCAGATGTATGATTGATGGGTATGGTTGTGTAAACAGTTGAGCACCAATTGGAACCTACCCTTCCCCTCAATCCAACATACCGAACAACATCATTGAGCGAGCAGTGTCTTCGTGTGTGKATCGGCCCACCCCTGTRCCCAAGTTGTCACYGAGCAAGCCAGCCCAACCACTCTTATTTACCCTCRTACGGCGACGAGCCTTCCTGTCCATGTGATCTGGCTGATCAGGAGGAATTTATAGAGCGCCCCCATCTCTTCAGGAATTATTTAACGTCGCAGTCAGGACGACGATCACAGCCAGMTTCACAATGAACTCCCAACCAGAAATATTTATAGACGGTCTGGTAAGCGTCTGTCATGGGCTGGCACACCCAGAGGAACTTCTATTAGCGCAGCAAGTGCCAAACAGGACAGCAGCCATCGCATGCGTGCACTACTCCCTGTGGGTTGGCATAGTGATCGTGACCCAGTGCTTCGACCAGGGCCCTTCAGAGGCACCGCCCTTTCTCCTTCCAGATGCTTCCGGGAAGATTGTCGTCTCTCAAGGTAGCGCGCTCACGACACCTCACCAAGGAGAGGACTCTCAAGTTGGACTCACTTCCTCACGATA